CTGTCAGGTTTTTAAGAGTTTAAACTGTACGGGAAGAGATTATCCATCATCTCCCAAGAAAGTGCTGTTGCTGTTAAGATTGAACTACCTCCTGTTGGGTTGACAGCACAACTCTTTACCCATTCAGCCACCAGAAGTCCTCTAAAATTCTGTTTCTATTTTAGCTGTATTAGAAAAAGGAAGCCTAGAAATTGCCCGGGATAGATTTTTGTCTCCTTGCCCCTTCACTATTTTCTTGTTAATCTTTGGGGATTTTCTAAAACTAATGCAGTAAATAGCATTTTGTTAAAAGTTTTTACTTAGATTAAATTGTGTCATTTTTGCTTTGAGATGAATTTGTCCTTTGCCTAAATGTCCGCCGTGTAATCTTTGCATATTAAGTTAAACGTTAATGGAAACAGACGCCTTGCTGTGGGGAGTTCAGACTGCTGACCTTTTGGCTATTGGCTGAATGTTTTAAACATCAGGATACCAGTGCTTTTCTGTAAAACTTAAAAAAAAAAAAAAAAGCCACCATGCCTTCAACTTTCATGCTGAATTTGACGCACAGCAATCCTATAGGACAATTGAACAGTTAAAATCTTGACTGTGTCAGGAGACTGACTGCCACATTTTCCTCCTGAGGATCCTCCTGTTGGTGAGTTTGAACTGCTAGTTTACTATTAGTTTAACAAATGAGCACGTAATCACTGTGCCACCAAAATTCGTACATTTAAGAGTTTATGTGCTTTGATTTTAAACTTTTAATTTCTTTGGTGGTTATGCACTCTTGAGTTGTAACAGACTTACAGCTGACCCTCCAGAGGGTTTTTAGAAGTAAACTTCATGAGAGGAGGTTCTCATGGAAGAGCTGGAGAATTTGAATCTCATGCCTTTAAGTTGTCAGCACAACTCCTTGTTCTTGATAGCCGTCGAGTTGAGCACTACTCATAGTGACCCTATGAACAGAAGGTCTGAAGCCTTTCTGTAACTATCATTTATCCAAGTTCGTAAAGTTTCCAGAAGCATGTTATTTGGGAAGTGGATGCCAGTCCTTAGAAATAACAATACATTCCCCCCTTAAGTTATATTTTAGATTGATTTGCACACAAAATTAAAATACATTGTGTTTCACACTTTCTTTGCTTCACATTGTTTTTCATAGTCATTTCAGTACATTGTATTTATAAAATTAATCACCATTGAACCATGCCCACCGTTACCCCATCTTTTCAGTTACTCACCGGATATTTCCCATTTCCTTTACCTCCACCTACTAAATAATGCAACCCTATGCCCCTTTGCTCCTATCCTTTCCCACCATTGGGTCTCCATACACATTTTATTAGTTATTCTGTGTTTTTTTTTATTTGTTTAGACAGAATTTGGATTTCCATTCATTCATATTTGTACATTTTCCTCTGTGCTCTCCCCAGTTCACTTTTCTCTGTGAAGAAAAAAAAAAGTTTTTCCATTGTTGTACAATTCCCCACCTCCACTCCAGTTCTCTTTACTATGTGACTCTTACTCTGGACTGTTACTATATAAGTAATACCGAATTATATATTCCTTTTAAGAGGTTCTTTCCCTAATCTGTTTCCATGTTGTAAACATTATTTATCCCCTCTTAGTTTTCCCCCAACCCCAATTTCAGTCCTGTTTTACAACAGTGGCATTATGTAGTATTTGTCCTTTTGTGACAGATATTTCACTCTGCATAATGTCCTCTAGTGTCACCCATTTTGTATAATATTTTATGAGTTCCTTGTTTTTCAGTGCTGCATTGAGTTCCATTGTGTGAATATATCACAGCTTCTCTGTTTGTTGATGGGCACTTGAATTGTTTTCATCTCTTTGCTATTGTGAACCACGAGCAATAAACATGGGTGTGCATTATCACTCTATTTTTACAATAAAGGTCTTATGCAGTATTTGTCCTTATGAAACCAAGTTAGTTTATTCAGCATAATGCTCCAGTCTATCCCAAGTTAAGCGGTATTTTTTGAAATCATTACTCAGTTCTTTTTTATATAATTTTATTTGTATAATTCTTTATATCAATGGTATTTGCCTTATACGTGAATATTTAAGTTTTAGAATGACAGTAAAAATTACTTGAGCTGCTGTGCTTTTAAATTGGCTTTTTAATAGCTAGCCTGCATGCCTAACAACGCTTTCACATATTTGTTAACGGAATAATGTGCTCTGGGTTTGAAATAAAAACTATTAGGATATAAAGTATTTATACATAGCTGGTTCTTTAATTCTTTAATAGTCTCCTTTGACAATCTATAGGCACTCTGAAATCTGGTCACTTTGATTCTTTCAGCCTATCATGTTCAGAGGTGAGGTTCGTCTGAATGTGGAAGAAAAGAAGACTCGTGCTGCCAGGGAAGGGGATCGTCGAGACAACCGTCTTCGGGGACCTGGAGGCCCTCGAGGTGGGCTGGGTGGTGGAATGAGAGGCCCTCCCCGTGGAGGCATGGTGCAGAAACCAGGATTTGGCATGGGAAGGGCCATTGCTCCAAGGCAGTGAATTCTTCTTCCCTTGTCGTCAAGCAGCAGTACAAACCCTAGCTCTTGCAGAAGGGTGAATTTCTTCAACCAGCCTTTGGTATCTTGGAGTATGACCCTAGTCTGTTATAAACTGCTTACGTTTGTACACTTTTACTCCTTTTTGTGTTAATGGTGTGTGCACCCTCTCCCATCCTTTCTTCTGATCTTTAGTCCTTCACTTCCAATTTTGTGGAATGATATTTTAGGAAAATGGATTTTTAAAGAAGAAAAAAAGACTGAATTTCCTTGCTTACTTTGCATATACAGACTGGATTTTTTTTAACAGCCATTTCCCCAAAGGAATGTGTTTTGCTTCTTACTGACATTTGGTATGTTTCATTCATTGGAATATTTCTTACTTATTTTCTACGTGTTTCAGAAGCCTGTTTGATAAAACAGTTTGAAGGCAAGATAAAACTGAAATTGTTTCTTCTTTTGAGAGTCATGACTACCTTCTCGTGTGGAGCAGTTGCTATTGGAAAAATTGACAATTTTGATCTCACTGGTGTGGTTAAAAATGGAATAAAAAGTGCTATCTTTTTTCTTTTGATATCACAGAAGAATTTAAAAACTTAACTGTTTTTTACCATTGAAATTTAAATTGTGTGATAGGCTTTAAATGTCTAGAATGTAAAACTGATAAGCTTTTCTCTTGAATTGTTAAATTTTTTTGAAGTAGAGTTTTTCCATATTTAATTTGTGTTTGTAAAAAAAGGGAAGAAAAAAATTTCCCCAAATCCAGATAACAAACAAACCAGAGTAAAACTGTTGTGCCTTCTATTTATCGTTGATTCCATTCTTGGCAGTTGTTTAACAGAAAAAGAATAAAAACAACAAAAAATATCTAGTTTATTCAGGTTTAGAGTATCTGGGAAATTTTAGAATCTACCTTTACCTATTTTCTTTTGTTAACATTTGTTATGCCTTATTCTGAAATTGAATCTCTAACTGGAATGCCTTTGAAGACAAATGCTTCTTCTATAGAAGCTTTTTGACCTAAATATTTTGACAATTTGTATTAAGTTTTAATTTCCTTTTTAAAATCAGATTTTTAATCATAGCCCATAAAAAGGATGTCACTTCAATTGGACTTTGCTGATGTGCTTCAGTGTTTGCTAGTTTTTCCCCCTTTCCCCTTTAAATCATAGCCATGTGATAAATTTTCTATTTTGTTATGGTTGTCTTGTTGATGGGCATGCAATGGGTTTCTTGGAATGGCCAATTTTTATTAAAATATTTCTGGAAGAAACTTTAATCTGGCAGTATAGACTAATACTCGTTTTACAAATTACATTACTTGCTGAATGCTGTGTGTGAAGTGGATGAAGGTTTCGTTTGCACATTTTTGAATCAAGCCTCAGTGTGATAACATCATCACTAATTTAAGGCAACCAGTTGTCAGATGTTATTTATTAACAGTATTCGTCTTTAAGATTTAAGGTTAGTATGTGAATAGGATAGGAATGTTTTGTTTTATAGTGTTGATAAAACTAGGTTTGCCGAAAAATTTAGTCTTAATAAACTATAGAGATAAGTTATGAAGTTTGGTGTTACCGATTTAGGCTTAAGTACCTCAGACATTTGAAAATTGGCAGCACACCCTTCATATAAAGAGAGTTCAGTAAAATTAATCACATAGTTTGCATGTGGGTCATTTCTACTCCATTTGACCCAGGCTAGTGATAATTAGTTGAAATTCCATTTATGCTTGTAGCTTATATTAAGCTTCTGATGGAAAGCAAAAAGGTGAGTTACTTAAAAAGAAAAAAGTTACTGTAAACAAAGTTTTAAAATTATGGATGATCTACACATGGTTTTCCCCAGGTGGATACTTAACTATACATTTCAAAAGGAATATTTCTCAGGCTTAAATGTACCAGCTAGATGCAGTGATTTTCAACTTGGTGGTATTTCTACCTCTTAGAATGCATTTGAAAGTGTGAGTTTTTGGGGACTTGGGGTTATAAGGAAGACACTACATATATCTGCCCTTTAATGGTTAGGAAGGGCCAAGGAAGCCAAATATTTGTGAAATAATAAAGCCAGCCCTTTAAGAATATTAAAATAGTTCCTCCTCCTGTATGTGGTGGGTGGTAAGGGCAATAGTAGGATTAGGAAAGCTAGATCTTTTTTAAATAGTCTCATAAATAAAATAGGCTGATTAGGCTGAAATGAAAATATTTTTCCAATGTTAAAGTGACAGTGCTAGTTTGGTTTTTTTTCCCATATAAGGATAGTATACTAGGTGTATTTTAACTTGTTTAAGGGAATTACTGCATAGTCAAAACTAAGCTTCTCCAGTAATTTCATATCATCAGAATTTTTAGGATTATGAAATTTTGACTATCATTGGAATTTAACAATAGGATTTTGTATCATAGTTAAATTTCTTGCTGATGGGATAAACATGAGTCCTTAAGAGAGGAATACCTTCACTCAGAAAGTAAAAATAACCATAGATTAACAATTTTGTTTCAAAAAAATAACATTTAGCTTCATGTTTTTTTGTCTCCTTAATTATTTTTAAGTTTTATAAAAATTTAAAAAGTTTCTAAAATATATTGGGGCTAGACTTTTTGTATAAGCATTGACAGCTTTTCATAATGGAGTACTTTCGGTTTTTAAATACCTGTTTTAATGGTGGCTTATACTAGGTAATACTAGATAGAGTCATTTGCAATTAATCTTTTAAACAATTGATTTAGGATTTTATAGATAATTTTTGTGTGCTTTTATCCCGAGGTTGGACTTTACTTATGTATTCTGTCTTCTCCACCTTTTGTGCTGTTGCTGAACAGTAGTGATGTGGCTAAATCCAAAAAGAATCATTTGGCTTTGGATGAGTAGTATTTTGCTAAAGTTAGTGGAATTGCACTTTAGTTTTAGGAAATGTTTAACTACCCTATGGTTTAGGCAACCACCAAATAGTAATGTATTGTGATATGTTATTATCATCATCCAAATAATATATTATCTATAATAGATGAGGAAGAAAGTACATCGGCACACAGTTACATAAATGTGGGTAGCAAGTAGGGGATTAGCCTCAAGCAGACGATTTTCCTAAAGAAACGTAATGCTTGCCTATTTCTATTTGAATGACTTAGTGAAAAAGATATTACAGTAATGTAGTAGCTACTACTATGTTAGAGACTTGAGCCTAGAACACATTTAAAACCAGCTTAGCATTTTTTTTTTATATTTTTGTGTGAGTGTACCGTCAAATCATATCTGACTGGTACAGGAGGAGATTGTCCCTCCTTTTCCCGGCAGAGCATCTGGTGGATTCGAACCGTGTGCCTCTGGGATTGTAGTTGCAGCTCCTTGCCACTAGGCCACCAGAGCTCCCCAGCATAACCATTCTTAATTTCTTGGAGGTTAAATAAGTTAACTTTGCTGTGTAAGTGTTCCTTTTGGTTTGCAGATTCTCTGTGGTAGAGATGGTATGACTATAATGATTAGTGAATAGTTAGATTATATATTTAAAACAAACTTGAAAGGCTGGATGTGGCTAACAGTACATATTCAAGATGCGTTTAAGCAGTTTTGTTTTATGCTTATAAATGCCATTCTCTGTCAAAACTCCTTTTGTAGAGTTTAATGGATTTAGTAGTCATAGAAAACTGTTAGATTTACTAACCATAATCTTCCTAGAAAGATGAAATTTATAGATATTATTTATTCTGGGTGGCTTATTTCTTAAAAGTAAATGGTTGGCAATTTGTCAAATCTTCTGATCTTCTCTGTTGAATCTCTTGTTTTTATGCAACTTAAACATCTACAGGAACTGCACATACTTGAGGCCTCAGTTTTTTACTTTGAGTTCAGCAGTTTTCAACCTTGTAAAAGAAGAAATTTCAGCATTTATTTGATCTTAAGAATTCTAAGGTAACTGTCTAATATGCTCAGATGGACAGAGAACAATTAGAGATAGCCTTCCAGAAATGGTTTTAAAACCTAAAGAATGTTCTAGAAACCTAGTGATTTGTGTGGGCTTTGAGAAGGATCCTAAAATTGCTAATAAGATTGCTAAAAATTGTTTTAACAATTGTTTAAATTGTTCAAATGTTAGTAAATCACAGTACATTTGTTTACTATGATGTTTAGGGCACTGTAGATCGACTTGTCTATTTATACTATAGGGAAAGACAATACGTGAGTTAAAAATTACTTATATTATTTTTTTTATAAGCATCCATTTAAGAGAATATTGAAGGTAGATTGTATTACAAACGCTTTCATTTCTCATCATGACCCAAGTAAAAGTGATTAGAGAGACCAAAAACCCTTTTAATAAATTTTAGTTTTGTGTATATTTAATGTATTTGTGTAGAATCAAAGTGGTTCATTTTTTGCTTGAAAACCTTAGTCTGCTTTCCTATTGTATCCACTTGAACCTGGTAGTGTATATTTAACAAAAAAGTATTAGTAATTAGTCCTACAATTTCCTTAATCCATATGAATTGCTAAATACATAAATTGGATTTGAAATGTGACCAGTGTCAGTTTCCTGAGGCTCAAGCCTATCCATTCTGTCTTAGATTTTTAGTTAGTTAAAGGATATTTACCAAAATTTAAATAACTCAGTTTCTTTGACTACTTTTTTGAGGAGCATACTTCTGGAGTTGCCTTTTTTGATAGTTCTTAGAGAGGAAGATTATATTTTGTTTCATCTGGATACAAACAGTTTTAATTACTGCTGTAGCTAACACCTTGGATTATTGTTACTCTCCTTAAAAGTTGATGCCACTTTGATCTATTTTACTTTGGATTTTACGTAAATTCTTGAATGTTAAGAAATTGTGTATGTGTGTACACAGAACCCCTCATTCTCCCACCTCCCTTTGGCCATTTAAAACTACAATATCTACCAAGAAACTATACAAATACAGGGAAGAAGAGAAATTTCCCTTTGTTGGTGAGCCAGTATATATTTTATATTGTAAAACCTCTTGTTAAAAAGTAAGTCATGTGCGTAAATAATAAGATTGGAAGAAAGGTGGGGTGGTGGTAAAACTTAGCTTTTGCATAGAAATGACTTGTGATTTACAGGAAAAAATAAGATTTTAAGTGAGAAACAGAACATCTCTTTAAATGTTAATTTTCTATTCTGATTTATCACCTAAAGGGACAGAAGAGATTCTAGAATTCGAGTTATCCAATGTTAGTGTTGGAAAGAACTACGAGATTTCTATTACTTTCATTTTACAAGAGGAGAGATGTCTCAGAATCAATTAGTAGAGTGTCCCAAATTGGCTTATTGGAGCAATATACGGAGCACCTTTGGGGATCCACCAGTAGGCTCACTGTAGAAAGTACAGTGTGTGAAAAGTTTGAATGTGTTGAGGAAAGGGAAAGTGCCACATTTAATATGCTTAACCAAGTTGCTTCTGTAGTTCAATTTTCCTACCCAGGTTTTCTCTGTTAGAACTATCTCAGTGCCCAGTTTTGGCAGGGCCTGTTGTCTTAAGGACATTAGCTTGTGCTTCCTCAGGGATAGGTTTACTACTAGTTGTCAGAAAGCTATTGGGTATCCTAATGTGTTAATAGCTGAAACTCAGCTGTAATTTTCTCCTAAATCTCTTCATCATTTTGCATTCTGTACATTGTGGTGCTTTCCCCACCTTGTATTGCTATAATTGTAAGCTCCTAGGGGGCAGCAATTTGATCTTAAACATATATACCCTGTTCAGTGCCTGGCAGCGTCATGTATATTTCAGGGTTTAAATACTTTCCAGCTGTTTCTCCATTCAGAAAAGTGATCCTCCAGCTATCACTTGTTTGTCTAATAAAACAGACGTAACTGTGGTCCCTTGGCTTCAAGTGCCTTCTCTCTTCCCTGAAGATACACTTGAATTGCAACTTCCACCCCTGTTTCTTTTTTATTTTTTAAACCTCCCTCCTAGTCCCCCCTCCCCGCCCATCATGAATTTGCAAGAAGGGGTTGTCCTGCTTTCACGGGCCTGTTCTGGTGTGAACTAGGAAACTCAACCTTAGCTGTGTGTCTCTTTTGATTTGAGGGTCTGCCTCTTTTAAAAAAAAATGTGTTCCTCGAGCACTTTATATCTTTCTCATAGCATATAACCCTCAACCTAGAGTTAGAATTTCTTGTCTAATTTACTACTTTATTAGAGTATAAACTCTAGAATATAAGAATTGGGAGATGAATATCTGTCCTCCACCAGAAGATACAGTGACTTTTATGTTCCCTAAATGATGACTCCTTTATAGTTGAATGAGTAAGTTCTCGTTTTT